TCTTTGCTACGTATACTACTGCCCCTTCCAGTAATTTTTCTCCTCCACACAATCTCTAAAGTCAAGGATCCCGGCCCACTTACATACTGTTGGTGCATACACACACATGAACCCCATGTGCGTGTGTGCACGAAGAAAAGTCTAGAAAAGCAGATAGTCCAGCATGCTTGTAAGTGCCTCTAAGAGCTCCTATATCCCAATCTTGTCAACCATTTATTTCCTTTGAATTTCCAGAAGAAAACAATACTGTCTCTCATTGTTTCTCCTTAAGAGTCTCCAGCAGCCCCCTTCAGTAGCTGTAAGGTACCTGCTTGGTCTGGACCAAATGCCAGAGAAAAATGGACCCTCGGCAGCAGAAAAAAGGTGGGTTCCTTGCAGTCCACATTCTGATCCCTTTGACTGCATTGACCTTATACCCACTACGCCCAGGTCTCCACACTGCCCCTCACCCCGACCGGCTCCCACAGGCTGGCTGCCTCGGTGGTCCGCGCTGCCCTCGGCCCAGCTCACCACACCAACAGTCCACCCAAGTGTCCACACTGCCCCTGCGTCTGGGTCAGCCACGCTGTGCCAAAGGAGATGGGGGCGGGCATGGGGAGGGGAGAGGGAAGGAAAGGGAAGCTCCTGAAGTCACATCTACCAAATATGCTGTCTGCATCCCTCCCTCCATTCGCTGAAGTCTGCCGGGGTCCAGGGAGATCTGTATGAGCCAGTGAGAGAGCGCGAGAGTGAGGGAGAGACAGAGACAGAGACAGAGAAAGCATGTGCGTGTGCCCGTGCGTACACGTGTGTCTGTGCACCCCACTCTGTCACTGGTTTGCCCACGCTCCTGCCTGCACTTTCTGCTTCAGGAGCTGTTTGGCAGGCTCTGGGAGGCTGTTGGATGGAATCCAGCTCTCCCTGGGAGGAAAGCATAAACTTCATAAACTACATTTACTTTAATGCAGGCTCCTGGGGCAGCTTTCCTCAGGCTTTTCTTCCCTCCTCTTGTCTGCTCGGTCTTGGCCACATTTTACCCCAGCCCCTGTGTAGGCCCAGCGCCACCCCCCGCCCCACCCCCACACACACATGCACGCGCACATACACACACACTTGATAGCCAGTACTCCTGAAAAAGGAAGCCTCAGCCTGGCTCTGGAAAGGCCCCTGTGAGATGCCCACACACTTGTCTCTGGTGGAGATGAGCACAAAGGATGCTTTGAGGCAGGCGGGCAGGCGCCTCAGGGAGGGAGGGATGCTGACATTTTGTGGGGATGGCCAAATTAGGAGCTACCTGGAGGCTGGGCCACGGGGCTCCAAGGAAGGGAGAAAGAGAAAGCGAGGCCTCCACGCAGGTTGAGGTTTGTGAGGCCTCCCTTGTCTGGTGCTGTCAAGGTCAGCAGGTTCAGGTTCACCGAAGGGTCAGGATGGTTTGAATTACTGGCTCTGCTGCCACTCGGCTCTGAGGCTCGTGATCATCTCCCAGCCCTCCCCCAACCCTCCTTGCTCTTCAACCCCCACGGGGCAGAATGGGGAAGGTCCTAGGGAGCTTGCCAGCCTCCATGGCCCTGAGGAAGGCAGGCAGGGGAGAGGTCCTTCCCTGGGCTCCAGGGCTCCTGGTGTAGCCTCAGTGGTGGGTAGGCCGCGGGGACCCATCCCTGTCAGGCAGCGATCCTGGGTCTCCCCAGCCTACCTTCTCTCCAGACGCTTTTTCTGAGGGTACCCCATGCCCCTGCCCTTCTCAGCTCTCTCCGGCCTGCAGAGGAGGAGGCGCCCAGGCAGGCCAGCCCACTATCAGCGGGGCCCGGGGGACGGCCTCAGGGCCTGGCCCTTCCCTCCTGTCCACGGCCCGTGCCTGGGGGCATCACTGAGGCAGAGATTTCTCATTTCTTGCTTTGTGCCCTTGCCAGGTGGGGGAAGGAGAATGATGCCTACCTGCAGGGCTGGAAGGTTGTTGCCAAATGGAAGACTAGGATTTGACGACAGAATCTGACAAGATAGGTGTCTGTACATGTGCCCAGAAATCCACAGATGCCTTTGTTGGGAAAGTTGTAATACTGTGCTACACCAACCACAACTTCCAGTCCGGGAGGAACTCGTACAGCCCCCTCTACTGCTAATCTGTACATTCGCTCTTGGGGGGTGGGGTCGACCTCTTTTGATGTTTTGGTACTTTATGGGGGGAAAAAAACTCTTTTGTGCTGAATCGCAACATACTTCCTCAAACAAGGAACTATAACTCTTTATCCACAACAGTATGTACCGGTTAGGAGCCCGAGGTGGTTAATGATTGGACTAAAGTCCCTGGTATAAACTCAGGGACTTACGTACAAATTCATGCACCCACGTCAGCTCTACACCGCCATGGCTAAATCCGGGTCCTTCCTCAGAAAAAGGTAAGTCCATGTGGCTCAGGACCCAAGGCAAAGGTCTTACTGAAACATTGACATAACCCACACCTACCTCTGTATAATAACATGGTCAGTGTTCAACAGGCTCACAGCCAACATTGCCTGGAGTTTGGCTAAAATATGCGATCCAACTAAGATAGAAAAAAAAAAATCCCTCCTCAGTAAGAACGGTCTGATTTCCCAGGTTACTGGGAAGATATAATCATAACAACAAATGTGTGTTCATAAGTGGATTTTTTTGGTGTCTGAGCGAACGCTGACCTTTGAACCTTAGCTCGCTCTTAGATTAGGGTGGACGTTAGCCAGGGCTTGAATAGTTGTTGGAAAACGAACATAGGTTGAGCTTTGTTAATGCTGTTTAACTCAGGCACTTGCCTAGATGGATGATTGCTTTTGTGTAGATTTGGTTTCTGGATTTTCATAGGACTCGCCTCACGAGGGGCATTCTGTGACCTGTGCTGGGTAGTACGGTGCGTGTGAATCCCATGGCTCCAGCAATGAGCCACAGAGCACCAGTCCTTAGAGAAACTCTAACGCTGCCAATGTAATATCTCCTTACAGGGCCTGCCCGGGGCTTGGAGGGCAGTGGAAGCAAAAAGAGACACTGTGGTTTTTTGCCCATGATGTAAGCTCACTTCAGAGCTTTGAAGGCATGCCACCCAGGTCCACACTCCTGAGTGGGGATTCTTTAAAAGGCAATCAGATACCTCTGTGTGTGTGTGTGTGTGCACGTGTGCGCATAAAGGTTAAGCGGTGAACAGGCATAATTGTGCCCAAGTAGTGGGTTTAGGTTAAGGAATCAGTGCAACCTCATTTGGTTTACCCAACGCAGGGCAACCTCACTGTGTCTTCTGGGCCATCCCTGGCCCCCCTCCCAGCTCCTTCAGGCTGAACCTGGCCCACTAAAATGGTATGTGCTCAGCGAAACTTCCCTAAGCTCTTCCCATGCAGGGAATGCTCACATCTTTCGCTGCTTCTGCCAGCCTCCTGCATCTGGACCAAAAGGCTACAGAGGACAGGCACTGTGGGCCTGGGAGAGTCAGGCTGAGGCTCCCGCTTCTGCCTCTAAATGTCCCACCCTGCGAGCCTACCAGCGAGCGCCCACCTGCAGGCGTCCCCCGTTGGCCTCCTGCAGGACTGGAGGCTGCGCCCAGAGTCCTGGGGCCTGGCAGCCTCTCCTCTTCCCCCTGGTCCTCCTTGCCTGCCTTTTCTGACACCGGCACTCTCCGCACTGCCCCTCCGGAAAGCGAGCGAGGGAAGAGAGACCAGTGACCAGGGCATGCCTGGTTTACATTAATGAGATACACCGAGTGTAATCCAGCCATGGAGGCAGCCTACAAAAAGAGGCGATCGCGGGCGGCCAGGAGCAGAGCTGCTCAGGTAATTGGTTTATCTATCTGGAAGCAGGGGGAGCAATCTCAGCACAGACAGACTAGCAGTAAAGTCTCTTCCTTAAGGCTATTTCCTTTGTCTTTTCAATTGCTTGCACATCCATGTGAGAGAGGGAGAGAGTGTTAAAGAGAGAGGGAGAGGGAGAAATGTTAATTTGTGAATTAATGGCTTTTCTCAGCGGAATTGTAAATTCAAATGTCACCTCACACGGTGACACCACGGCTGGTCTGCTGAAGAAGCAATGATAAGATCCCCCACCTCCCTTGGTGCCCCTCCCTCCCCAAAGATAGCTGTGGAGTGGAACATGCTACTTTTAATTTGCAATAACAACACAACAGAGGTATGCAGTAATGACTGCCTTCTTCCGCCCTCCTCCTGGCTTCCTTCCCCCCAGTCCAGTTGGCTCCCCACTTCCTCCCTCCTCACCCCTTGGCTCTTCTGAAACAACACCTCACCCCTCCCTGGCGGCCCCCCACCGCACCCCAGCCAGGGCCTGATCACGTGGGGGGGTGCCTTTGGAATTGACGATGCTGCAACCCTCTCTTCTCCTTCAATAATCAGGGAATTAATGACCCTGAAGTTAAAGTGAGGCTGATACCGAGGCCCTGCCCAGTGTTGGGAAAAAGCCTTCATTGTTTTCAAGCAGGAGGCGGGCAGCAGTGAGGGAGATTCATGGATGGAGATTGAATATGCAATTTTCTTTCACCTTGCCAAGAGCTGCCCCTGGGCTGTGCCTGGCCTAAATTTTTCCTTTTACCATCTCTGCCTTATCCGGCCCTCCCACCTCCCTTCCATTCTTTCCAGAAAATTACCTTCAAAATTGATTTCCACTTTTACAAACAAATATAATGGGAACACAGGAAAAAACTTGGGCCGTGATGAATTAGGGCTGTCAGGTGCTTCCAGGTCTCCTTTGCTTTTGTTTTACTACCCGATCTGCTCTTTGTTTTTCCAAGGGCTGGAAAAAGTGCCCCCCATCCACTGAGTGCCTGACCCTCCAGGCCACCGGGGTCTCAGCCCCCAAACCCAGCAGTGGCCTGTGGAGAAAGTGATACAGGCCCTGAGACTCTGTCAGCCTCTCGGTTTCCCAGCAGAAGCTTGAGCCACCTCCACTTTTCTGCTTGCTGGCCCTTAGGAACCCACTCTCTGAAGAGTCCCTAACCACCCCCGCAACTAGTTCCCCTGGCCCCCACACCAGGTTCCCTCTGGCCCCCATACCTCTTAAAGTCCAGACCAGATGCAAACCTCCACCTCCTCTAATGTAGGCAGGATCAGTGTATACCTCGACTGGAGCAAATGAGAGACAGACAGACACTGAGAGATCCCGAAAGACAGGCAGGCAGACCCCGAGATTGGGAGGCCAGCCTCCACTTCAAAGGGTACAAGGGTGCTGAGTGGCAACTCCCACATAGCCTGAGGGTGTAAGGGCTCCCAGTCTCCCTTGCCTTGAGCCCCAGACCACCGCTGGAGGCAGGTTCAGTACAGCCCATCCATTTGCCAACAGAGTGCAGGGTGATGCCTATGGGGCCCTTTGGGCAAAAGTCTACGTGCCCGCCTGTGCCTCAAGACCATGGACCCTAACACACTCAGGCGTGGCTTGAGTTCTCCCTGCTCACTGGCACAGGGGGGCCTGCGCCAGCTCACATCTGATTGTCTCTTCCAATGTACACACAGCCCAGGAGGCTGCATGCCTGCCCCGTGCATGGCGTTCCACATCCCCTTTCACCCAAAGAACTCAGAATGCTGAAAAACACACACATACTCACATTTTCATAAACTATGTAAAAAAAATTACCCACGTGTGTATAAACATACCTTTCCCAAGGTAAATAAATAAACTTGCACATGGTAATGCAAGTACACAACAGTGAATGGGGGGGTGCCTCTGTGTTAGAAAAGAAGGGGGTCCTATATTCACTTACACACCACTGGAATGCCTGCGGATGCTGAGAGAGGACACGTGGCCCCGCTAGATAGCCTCAGAGCCAATGAGGAAGCAGAGGTGGACAAAGGTCCTCCTGATCACTCATGGGGGGCTGACATCTTTCCCCCACTGCCCTAGCTGCCTGATTTAACGGGGGCAGCACCAAGATTATGGAGGCTCTACCCCAATAAATTTCTTTCTGACATGACTTCATTTCCTCTCAAAACATAAACCTGCCAATTAGGTCTTCCTCCCCCAACACGCAGCGACCCATCTTCCAAGGTGGGTTGGCTCAACACCCTATATCCATGATCTCGTGTAGTCTTCTCCCCAGTCCCTGTGGAGTGAGTGCTGCAACCATCTCCACTTTACAGAGAAGACTGAGCTAATGAAGATTAAGTGACTCGACCAAGGCACTAGGGTTGACACCCACTACGCCTGGCTCCAGAGCTCACCGCGTACCCCACAGGGCCACACTGCCCATGCACGCTGCGCTTCAGGGACTGCCCGCTGGCCCCCACCCCGCATCCTCCTCCTTGGTCGGGGTGTGCTGCCTTCTCTTGCCTGAAACCAGGGCTCCCACACAGGGCAGCTGCCACTCATTTCCACAGCCTCATCCCTTGTTTGCATCCAATCTAACCTGAGCAACACACCTGGGGACCTCTAGGAGGGAAACTAAATAAGGAAATAAACTGCTTCTTCCAGTTACAGTCCCATCCAAAGCAGAAGGGAGCTATTAAAGGCGGTGACAGGACTGAGCCACTTGCAGCCGTGCAACCTGCCCTGCCTGCAAACGCACAACTTCACCGGTTTGGCGCCACTCAACTGCACAACTCATTGTGCACCTAATTAATGGAATGCAAAACCACAGCCCCTGCAATCCCACACGTCAAAGGAAGCCCAGCACACCTCCCCTCCCGCAGATTAACAGACTCAGACCATATGACTTCATTTGGATTTTTGGACAAGTTATGTAATTGCTGTGTTTCAACGACACCAATGGACAGCAACATTTGGAGCCATGGCTGAAAGCAACTGGGCGAAGGCAAAGGACTTTGGTTTTTCAGCCTGAAAAAAAATACAAGAGTCTCTATTCTCCAGCCGCGTAAGCGAGGGCAAGCAACATTCGGGGAAACAGCGTCCTTCAAAGGACCCTAATATACCCACTCACAGTTGTAGTTAAAAAGAGGTAAAGCTTTTAGCAGACTACGGAATGGGGGTTTACCTTCTCAGACTGTCTTCTGGGTGCTTCGTGACATAACTTCCTCATCTATCACTGGCCTGTCTACCTGTCTCATTCTGGGAGCTCCTGGACTCTTGGGAGTTGAGGGTCAAAGCTTCTTGACTAGCACATTTCTCAAAGGAAAGTCCGGGGATTCTTCCATACCTCCAAGGCCAAGGTACGAGAAGCCATCTCAAGCAGACTCACAGTTACTGTCAGCTTCTTTTTCCCCAGAGTCACAGCTGATCGACCCTTTACTAATATCCCCACAGATATGATTGCTGCAGATACTAATAACACTGTCCATATTCCAAGTGCCAGTGCCAATAATGCTCTGGGTATTATCACTGTGAACACCAATAACTACTGCTGAGATTGTCTCCAATAACGCCAGCATGCGCTGCCGTGATTGTCCTCGCTAATGCCCACCACCATGACATTGTTAGAGCTGAAGAATAGGCTGAACGGTACCCAGAGGCAGGGGCGGGAGTGGCTTCCCTGAGGACGGAAAGGCTCACAGCTTGTCCTCGGGGTTCTAGGGAGATGCCACTCTAGGTAAAACGTAAGACGGGCCAAAGGAGGGCCAGCCTGGTAGCACCTCAGGGTTCTCCTGGAAGGACATGTGGCCGTCCACTCCCTCAGTCCACTCTCTTGACACGTATACCGTATACCTGTTCCCATCGCAAGTCTCCTCAGCACCTCAAGGCCGTTTTCTCTTCTGCCTGTAGTGCCGGCCCAGCTGCTGAAGGACACACCTGGGTGTCTGTGCAGCCCATGCCCGAGGCCGCCTCCTGCAGCCGGCCTGCCAGCTGCTGTGCTACCTTGGCCTGACTGCAGAGTTGGGCTACATCATCTTGACACATAATTATCTCCCCTATTCTTAATCATCTGAGCTGCTCCCTAATGCAAACTGGGCCTGGCTGCTTGGAGGCACCCAGAGTGGGGGAGGGGGAGGACAGGCTGTAAAAGGTCTGCCTTTGCTCTTGCCTTCCTTTTTTCTCTCTCCCGACTTGGGTCTGATGGGTCAAGTGTGTGTAGTGTGGGGACAAGGTGTCAGAGAGAACTGGCCTCCCTCATAGGCTTTGGCCTCTACCAGGGAAAGGACAGCTCCATCCGGTCTGGTCAACAGGAGGGAGAGTCAGAGCAAGAGAACCCTACCACTCCGCAAAAAAGAAGTAGGGCCTCTGATCCTTCCTGCCGCCTAGCTAGGTCCAGGAAGCACTTAAGCAGCAAGCAGAGACTTGGAGGCTCCACTGTCCCTCACCTAGAGGGGTTCAACTGCTGCTACCACTGTCAACCCGCTAGAGGATGATCTTCCCAGACCTCGGCCTGTCCTTCTCCCTTCCTGCTCAGACACTTTCAGTGGCTACCCATGCCTGCAGAAAAAAGTCCAGCCTCCTTGCATGGTCTAGCCTTGACCTGATCTGTGGCCCTAACCCACCTATGTAGCCTGACTTCCCATGACTTCTAGTCCTCCTCTTTCATCCCAGCCAAAGCGCCCCTACCCTTTCTCACCACAGAGAAAGTCACAGGCTGGGACTATCAGAGAGAATTTCACACCACCATCGTCTTTGAAGACACCCTCATGCATCCCTCAGGCCCTTCCACACATAGCAGCCCTTCCTGGGGTTTCTTCTCTCCCTCCTCTGAGTTCCCATGGCCGGCAGCCCAGACCTCCACCACAACACGGGTATCTGATGGGCTTTTCTGCTCCCTGGGCTCACGTGTTTTATACGCCCCACCAGATGATTGTAAGCTCCTTAAGGACAAGAATCATATCTTGCTCTGCTTTGGGATATTATAGCACTAAGCCTTTCTTATGACTGACGCACAGAAAGGGTTCACTGAATTGAATTGACTTGAAACAATGAATGTGATCAATCGCTCCGAGAGGAGAGCGCTCTGTTCTGGGCCAACCAGGTCCAATGTGGGGTGGCCTCAGCCTCATGCCAGTGCCTCCCTACCCCTGGCCGTCCCTCATGGCCCAGAGGAACCCAGGAAGCAAAAAGCAGGCTTGCGTCCAACTGCAGAACAATGGCAGAGAGAGGTGAGGGGGCCTGTAGCCTCTCCTGGCCCACTGGACATCTCACGCTCTAAAAATACAGGGGCAGTGATTAAAGGAGAAACCCCTTAGGGTTTGGGGCAGAGTCATCCAAACCACTCGGGGTGCCAGGTAGCCTGGCTAAGGCCTGAGTGTGGGAAACCCCCAGGGAGAATTGAGACTGAGGGCCTTTCACACAGCCTCCCCCTGCCCATCAGGGGCTGTGGCCAAAACAACCACAATGAAATTTAGTGAGTGGCAAAGGCCGTGGCAGCCAAATGGGTTTGGATATTTGGGAAGAAGGAGAAATAGAGCCAGACAAGCTGTTTCCCTGTGAAACGAGGCCATTAGGACTTCTGGAAGGAGGCCAGCACGAGGTCATCACTGTCTTGCCAGACCCAGGCCTCTCCTACACTCTGTCCCTTCCGCTGGAGGCCAGGGCGCTCACACTCCCTTTTCCTGGGGCCCAAAGAATGTCAGCTTTGTCTCTTTTCTCTTTTCCTTGCCCTCGAAAGCTGCCTCAATCAATGGCTTATCTAGGCTTGGGATGACCATATGATTTATTGTCTGAATAGGACATTTTTGAGAGAAAAAGGAGATGCTGACTGGTCAAGATGCAGAGACAAAGGCATAAATTGGGACCGTCCATGCTAATGGGATATATGGTCACTGCCTTTTGCTCATCTTTAGAGGATTCTGTCTATTTCATGGTATATACCCTTAAAATCATATGCCCTTCCTAAACTAGGAGGTTACTGCCTCCCCAGCAGGGATCATGAGGTTGGGGCCAGAAGCAGGTTTCAGGCACTGGTGTCTTCGTTTGCCTTGGCCTGCCAACCCTGCGCCCTGGTCTCATGCATCAGAAGAGAACCAGATGGTCACCAAGGGACCTCTAATGTCACACATATGAAAAACACCTTCTCCCAAGCTCACCGCCAATATACTCTCCTCTTACTTCCTTTCCCCCTCCTCCTTCTCCTCTTTATTCCCCTGTCTCCCTCCCTGCTTAACAGCTGGCTACACCGTGAGGCACTGAAGGGAATGGGGGGAGGCCAGAGAGGAGCCTGAGTGGGGTCTCCTCCCGCTGGGGAGCACAGAGAGGAACCCCTGTCCAGCTTCCTCAGTGGTTTTACTGGGGCCAGTGTCCATGTGTCACAGAGAAAGGACACCAGGGTCAGGTACATGTGACATCCATCCCCTATCTCCCATGGGTTGGGATCAGGTAAGGACAAGGCAGGTTGGCCTTTCATCCTCAGGTCAGAGACCAGATGTCCAAAACCAATCTCCCCCAATCTCCCAAACCTTCCCAAGCAAGGTGCATGGTTCAGGCGTCTCCTCCTGGCATCCCACAGGGGTATTGGAGGTGAGTCCCAGAGGAAGACGAGGCGGTTGAGGCTGCTGAGCAGATGGTGAAGCTGATGGCCCCACCAGCAGCCTGCCTCCCTCTCTCCAGGAGCCAGCAGGGCAGTGGGGGGACCTGGGCTTTGCGACTAAAACTGATCTCATAGCAGAGCAGCTGCGAGGCCGGGCCGAAACCGGAGCTCTGAGTCCAAAGACAAAGCATGCACAGGGAAGCCAAGCCTCTTCCCTCCTCCCTACCTTCATCACGTTTCCTCTTCTCGCCATTGGAGCGAGGGATCCCCAGGATCCCGTTGATGGAGTAGGATCCCACTGGATCATTGGAGGCGCTGGAAACAGGAGGGGAGGCCGTACTGGGAACTGGATGAGAGTAAGGAGGAAATGCCATCAGGATAGCAGTTGTGATCGCAGGCCAAAGCCCCAGGGCTGGGGGCAGAGAGAAGCAGAGGCAATAAGGAGGGATGGGGAGCCCATATTCCCCTTCTTCCTTGGAAGTTTAAGGAGGAAGGCATTGCTACCTACTGAGCAGGCTATTCCCTTCTGTCCAGCCCTGGGCTGAGGGGTGACCTGTCAACCCCAAGCCTTCTCTGCAGACCTATACATTTCACTGGGGCCCTTGAAGTCACTCCCCTGAAGATGAATGGAAACACCAAAGCTGACTCAATCTACAGAGTGACTCAGCAGCCCTGTAGAGAGCACAGCTCCTAGGAGGCCTCCTTGCACAGCTCATCCAGTCCCCAGGGCTGGGAAAATCCTTCTAAACAGACCCAGCTCACTGTCTCTTAGTCTCTTGGGCTGAGCGTTTACCAGTCCTGATTAGAGTCTGTGGCTTTCTAAGATCTGCCTCTGAATCTCTGGGAGACACAAGAGTGGTCTTGATATTCTCCAGGAGTGTAGTGCACAGCTCCTACCTCCCTGTTGTTTCTGGTCTTGAAATCACTTAAGTTCCCAATTTCCCCCTCAGGGCACAGGCTACTGAACACATTCACTCCGTAATGATCTACTCAGGTACAGCCCAGCCCAACCCTCCTTCCCAGCACACGCTGTAATACAGGCCTAGTAAACAACAGATCCTGCCAACTCCAGGAGGGCTGGGACCTGCCATTCTACTTCCTGCTGGTCAAGAGAGAGGGGGACAGCTGCCAAGAAGGGCAGCAGGAAAAGCCTGATCACATCCCAGCCCCTTAGGCCCTGGTACCAAGCACACTTGGGCCAAGCGGAAGATTGTATGTTTGGGGTGGGGGGTGTTAGCAGGGGTTCTGGTAGGGACCTACCATGTCTCTGGAGGCCATGAGCAAGGACCAGTAAATAGGGAGGTTGGAGCGAGGCAGAGTTACCAAGTGGATGAGAGACTCAGAGATCAAGGAAGACAGACCATGAAGAGGGAGAGCGAGGGAGAGAGGACTAAACCCAGAACCACACATACAGAGAAGAGAAAAGAGAAAGGGAAAGGCAGAGAGAAAGCAAAATAGGAGAGAAAAAGGGAGAGAAGGGGAGAAGAGAGACTGATAATTTTAGAAATTAAAAGAAACCAAAATGGAATGAGAAAGTAGATATGGAAGAAAGAAGGACAAGTAGAGAGACAGAATCAGATAAAAACAAAAGGTGGAGAAAGAGAAGGAAGTGAAGGAGAAGATAAACTAAAGGAGAAATGTTGATGGGGGGAGACTGAGAGAGAGAGAGCGGGGTCCTAGTGAGCTAGTCTCTCGCAAGGAGCACCCGCCCCCCTTACCCCCTACCCTGAGTCCCTAGGAGCTCAGAGAGAGCACAGATTGGAAGAAAACAGCTCTGGGGTGGAGCTGCAGATCCAGCTCTCTCCGGTGGAGCCCTGCTTCCCTGTCCCCAAGCCCTCTTACCAATGGTGTGGCCGGGTGCAGTCACTCCGGTCCCAGCCCCATCGGGCGTTGGGTGAAAAGGCTGCTGAACTTTGGTCCGGATGATCCTGCAACAGAATTACAAGGGCATTACACATCACATGCCCCTCCTTCTCCCCCTGCTCTAGCCCAGACCTGAAGAGACGCTCTCTCCAGCCCCTCAGCTCCTTCCTCACCTGTCTGCTCCCTGCACCCCTGCCCTCGCCAACTGCTACGAGGCACAGGCTTTCCCTCCTGTTTGCCGCACGGATCCAGCCTAGTGCAGCTCTGGGTGGAGGCAGTCTGCGTTCTGTCCTGCCACGTGTGCATCGTCAGAATTGCAGCTGGATTTTTAGAAGCAGGGATTGGGGCAGCAGAGTGAGTGCAGCACAGCATCCCTCCCCTCTCTGCGGGTGGGGACTGCCTTGGTGGCTTGCTGTCCACCCTCCCCTCCTTAATCGCATGCAAATCTTTTCCTGGGAGCAGGACTCCCTGGGTCTGGAGATCATTTTGGAGCTGGCTCTCCTGTTGGGACTGGACCGCACACCTCCACAGTTGAGGGAGAGGGCAAGATTTCCCCATTTACCGAGCCAAGGAGAAATAGCCACGAAGGACTGTCACAGGTGACCCTTTTGTTCCCAGGATTCCAACACAGCACATGGGCCCTTTGCCAGATGTCAGGCCCTGAACAACTTCTTGAGCCCACTGACTGCTCTCAATCAAGTCAAAGCCCTGTCCCTGTACAGCTCACTGGCCTGATGGCCTCCTTTTCTGAGGTCCTACTTGGATCACAGCTTCTTTACCAGTCTGCTTGAAAAGCCTGGTGCCCCCGCACTGTGCACGTGAGGGGGGGAGGGGAGGACGGTGAGTCAACATCCCAGGACTGGGGATGAGCTGGCTTGTCAGGGATCCTAAGGACCCAGGGCTATGTGATGCAAAAGGCCAGCCCTGAGCAACACTCCCTTCTACCCACTGGTCAAATCGGGTGCCCTTGGAAGCAATTTTTCCAACAGCGTTGCCCCTCCCTGCAGAGACGTGTGTGACCCAAGTTCCCCTCAACCAGCGGGGAAGTCCTAAGCCATGAGTGGACTCTACTCTAACCAGCATATACTGAGCACCGCCAGGCAATAGAAATAAGGCCCTTGCCTCACAGTGCTGGATACAAAGTTAGGAGAGGGAGACACACACTCAAAGAAAGCTAAGTCACTCCCAGGGGGCCAGGCTAAGTGCCAGAAGGAGGCATCATCCCGCTTGGTGGGGGAATTGGGAGAGAAGTCACTGAGTAGGTGAAACTTGTAGCTCCTCACAGCAGAGTAGGGCTGGCCATACAGATACCTACAAAAACCAGTGGCACGGAGAGTGGCGGACAGGGCACCAGGCTACATGGCAGGGGCCCTGAGTCCTGCTTCTGACTCTGCCATTACGTGGCCACATAGCTTTGGGCTCATCATCCTCCTTCTCTGGGCCCCAGTTTCTCCAGCTGTAAAGAGCCTGGACTACAGAATCTCTAAAGCCTCTTTCCCTAGTAAAAAAACAAAACAAAACAAAACAAAACAAAAACATGATTCTAAGATGAGCAAAGAAGCAGAGGGCAGGGCATTAGAAGCAGGCGCTGGAGGAGGGTAGAATCAAAGCACGGAAGCCAGGTGAGCATGACTTTTCAGGGGCTCACGCCCAGACCGGTCGGCCAGGACTGGGGGGAGACGTAAGAAGAAAGAAGCCTGCAAACTTGGAAATGATGAGAACTGTGATTTTCCACTTATTGAGCATCTATTATGTGCCAATATTATAAGCAATTTATGCCACTTATACACACTGCTCTTAATCCTCATTTTGCAAATAGAACACCAAAGCTGACAGAGATTAAGAGTTTACTGGAGATTACATTGCCAGTTAGGGTAGCATTAAAATTCAGTCTCAAAAACGTACGCTTTTATTACTTTGTCACACATACCCCAATATACAGGAACTGGGTTTAGAGGGTCTCAAGCCACGAAGGATTTATAAACTAGAGGGGCCATGTGCAAACTGCTTCTGGTAAAGCAATGTAGAGGCAGGTGGCGACGAGGGGATGATCTCAGGAAAGAAAGAATTTACAAGACAGTGGGAAGGCAGAACGGCCAGGAGTTGGCAATTAACTGGAGTCAAGCATGGCCCTAGAACCCCAAGCCTGGTAACTGAAAACCTGGTGGTTTGTACCGCTACCAGAAAGAGGGACGCAGGGAGGTGACTGGTTTTGGAAGGAGGTGGTGATGTTCATCCTAGTCGTGCAGCATTTGAGGTGGGGGAGGCGCAACTATGTGCACATGCCCACGCCCCGGCTAGTACGCCAGATGTGGATTTAGGGGATTGTTAAGGAGAGGAGCGTTGAAATGTTCAGGAGGCCTGAGGAGTGGATACCGCTTTCAGAGATTGGGGGCAAAGAACCTGACCTTGCAGAGGGGTCAGAACTGGCCACAGAGGAAACGGCCACTCCAGGATCCAGCAGTTTCACCTCTCAATGCAGAGGAACATTTCCAGAAGGAGAACACAATCCACAGTGTCAGCAGTGACGTAAGGATCGGAGGCAATTGGGAATAAGAAGGGGCACAGGTTTGGGAATTTTGGTGACTACTAGTGACCTTGGGGAGAGCAGTATCAACAAAGGGGAAGAGCCAGACAAACAGAGGTTAGGAAGTTCACAGGAGGAAAGGGAGGCAGTGAAAGTAGGTGAGTGCCTTTAGAAGCTTGTAGAAAAGGAGAGGAGAGAAGAGTGTGGAAGGCAGGGGATGGAACCAGCAGCTGAGTGGAGGGAAGGCTTTTTAAAGCAAGGGCAACCTAGATACGGTTCTAGGCTAAAGAGAAAGAGCCAGTGAAGAGGGAGCGACTGAAGTTGGCTCAGAGATTGTGAATGATGGTGATAGGAAGGCGGAAGGAGCAGAGAATGGAACGGGAGAGGTGGCATACTTTGAGGGAGGCAAATGCTTTGAAAAGGAGCTTTTGTGGTTTTATCTCTTATCAAAGCAGAAGGCAAGGTCATCTCCCAAGAGTTGGTGAGTGGCTGCTGGGCGGGGTGGGGAAGCAGGGGAGGTGTTTGGAGCATAATCACAATGGGGAAGCCTAGAGTAGCTAAGGGCAGTGCAGACTGGTCTACGGGAAAGGTCTAGAAGGAGGTAGAACATTTCAAAGCAGCTGCTTCTAATTGATTTTGCCACAAAAGCTTCTGGGACCTCACTGACCTGGGGGTGGCTCTGGCGTGAGTGCTGATGGGCTTGGGACTAAGGAAGCCCCAGAGCTGGGGCTGGATGAGACAGATAGCTGCTGGCCTTGTGGAGTTCCTGTCTGTGTTACCCAGAGCCTCTGACCTCTGAGGTGCAGATTTAGCGGAGGCAGCAAGTGACAGAAAATCACTTCCCTGACAGCGGCCTGGGGGTGCCCGGGAGAGGAGCTGGGCAGGGCCCCTGCTGCGAGTTACTAATACCCTTGGTGTCCATCCATGGCCCCCGGGCTGTGGGCATGTGCGAGCCCCCAGAGCTGATCTCAGGGAATTTAAGAACTGGGATTGTGGAAATCTGAGCGCCATCCATTGCCCTCCCGCATCCCGTATACAACCCAACAGCTCGTGGGACTATCACTAGAGGTTAAAAGGATGAAGAAAAGAAGTTGCTTTGGGTGATTGCCTGATACTATTTCCCCCAGTTCCCCCTCCTTCTCCTCCTCCAATTCGGTTTCATTCTTGGCCCTAAAAGCAGCCAGACACATCTATGGCCTCCATAGTCCCAGGCAGGTTTGGCCTGGAAGGTCGAGGCCGTCATATGGGTCTTTGGAGAGCATGGTCGGGAGCCCTGGAGGGGCATGTCTTTGCTTGAGGGCAGGGAGATGCTATTTCTTGTTTCTGGAAAGACTGCCCTGTCAGGGTGCCTGCTCCCCACCTGTCTTCCCAGCATGCTTTCCCCTACAGAGATGTTCTTTCTCCCCAAACTTTCCTGGAACCTCCAGGACTCTGCCTGAGCCCAGGATGGGGACTTCGGGCACTTAGCGTCTCCCATACTCACAGGATTATGGCCAAAGGGAGAAGGGGCTCAGTCTGAGTCCCACCTCTGTTACTTATTCCCTGTGAATAACAACACTCTTCACTTTCTAGGACTGTTGTGAGAATTGAATAGGATAATCCATGTAAAATGATTAGCGTAAACCTTGGCTCAACAAATGCTTGCTATAAAAATCACAACAACTAGTATTATGCCTACGGTCTTATTAGCATTAAAGTGACCTCAGACAGCTCACCTGGACCCCTAGACCTGGCTGCTTTCTATGTGGGGGCTGAGCCAGGTGCAGGCAGGAGGCCCCTCAGCCCAACATGCCCCAGCCTGGCCAATGCAGCTGCTACAGAGAGCCCGGGAAGAGCACTGAGAAGACTGGAAACAGCAGGAGCAGGTGTCACAGGCCGACCCCCAAACAGAGGTTGCATCAGAAAAGACAGGCTAGGGACCTCTGCCTGGGGGCGCTGGGAAGGATCTGTAGACAATATGAGCAGCAGCTTCTTCTGACCCGAGAGAAGCCAGGGGGTGCAGACGAGCTTTAGAGTAAAGGATGACAAGCAGGTGAATCACTCCCTCTTGGGTAAATTCCCAGGACGTCTTCACCTCTCACCAACCTGGAGAGGAAAACAGGCTAGCGGCTCTGTGAGCTGGAATGAAAGCACAGATCCAGTCTCCTAGTAAGAGCTCGTTAAACTTGGAAAGAAGCAGGGAAGCCCTCGACATTCTAAGAACGCACTGGGGACATTCTTAGTCTTCCTCTGGTTCTACACCCTCTTCTTTTACCTCCTTCTCTCATTCCTCCTTCTGTGTTTCACTCTCTTTCTCTCCTCTTCTCCCTGTCTGTCTGTCTGTCTTCTTGCACCCTGAAGTCCCACTGTGGCTGTGTGAGTTTATTGATTCCTGGGAGCTGGGGGGAAGCGGGAGGCAGGGCTGGGGTGCAGGCTCAGGGATGGAAATAGAAGGCTATAAATTATTTGTGACAGGAAAGCAATAGTGGCAGAGTGCTGAGCACAAGTCCTGTGTCACTATTAGATTCCTTTTAGCCTGATGACACTGTAAAAAAGGTT